CACGAAAATTAACACAATTTTTATAATTTATGCTTTGAAACATCAATAACAAGCATAGATTTGCATGCAGATGCAGCAATGTTTTCAAATAATTAAATGCCAGAAATGAATATTATTATTTAATACATATAGCAATAATACTTATGTTGTTATTTAAATTTGATTCATTAATTTTTTGAAGCAATACATTCAATTAATTTATATACAAAATAAGCAATTTACATAACTTTTCAAATTTGTACAAATAGCAATTTTTAAAAATTTTCAAATGAAATAGTTTGAAATAAATTTATTATGATTATTGCTGATTGTATAATAAAAATTTTGCAGCATTTCATCCACTTATTAAATAAATAAATAAATAAATAACCAAAAAGTGCAAAAAGAATATAATACTCTACATTGGCATGACTGTTGTAAAATAAAAATGGTTTTTCGCATACCTTATTTATATTTTAAGGATTAAATAGCAACAAATATTGGATTATATGCAAGCTTCCAAAATGTTAACACACTGATAAGACCGTTTTATGTACTTACGTCTGCAAAAGACTGATTATGAAGACCTCAAATGGAAGGCGTGTTGAAGAGAATTGGACATTTCAAAAATATTATAATCTATATTTACAATATTTTTATATATACTAAAAATAGTATTTTGAATAAATTTTCTGTAATATATTACACTTAAATATTGTTTAAAAAGTGANCTGAGCCGCGGTGCGGTCCGCTGGTTGGACATCCCTGGTCTAGACCCCGAGCGAGAATTAATGTCAATTATTTCCGCACCGTGGCACAAACGCAACAACTTTTTATCCCCATCCGAAGAGTAAAACTGGCACCTTTATCGTTGTTCATCCTATTGTAAAGATTGTTGAATTTATAATTATGAACAGAAAACTTAAGTACTGTACAGGCATGTCACAAATCGTACCGTTTAAACTTTGTGACTATATTTTAAACCACACTCACCACATTCCGTTTTAATTAACGTATAACGAGTTCAACAACGATGACGTCTACTTTACTCTTCAAATCGAGCGAAGAGATTGAGGTTGCGTATGGAAAATATCATTCATTTATAAGTGATCTAAAAATTTAACTTATTTTCATTTTTATCTAATAGAAATTATTGATAAACCAATCTGTAACTATAACCAGAAAATACCACAAATCGAGTCCGACCATTGTACGCAACGCAGGTCGTAATTTCACTAATTTCGGAAAGATAGTATTACAGGAATTATTATAAGACAGTAGAAGAAAATAAAAACAAACACGATACTTCTTCCAAACAGAAAAAACCCACTTGCCCGGGAAATATTGTGTAAAAAATATAACGATACTCGGGGTGTCGTGGCAAGGAAAAGTAAACAATTGAGGATTGTTATAAAGTCTAAAAAAAGCCAGAAAAGAGGTACGGAAAGAAAATATATTCATTTAATAGGGAAGGAAAAAGATCACCGAATTAATCCAAGTAAGTAGTAAGATACGATAACAATTTTTAAAATACGTGTTTGAATCTTAGATTAATCAGTCGTATGTTTTAATAGCGTAGAGGAATAAGGAGATTGCACGAGTGTCTACTCCCAATTTTAACCCATCTCCGTCTTGTGGAGTAATTTTTACTAATTTTTTGCAAACTAGATTTGACATACCAATGTTTATTTTAAGTATAACTCTGATTACGGAATATGGGCGTTGATATTGTTAATTGTAAATAATAGGATTGTCGTAGTTTTAGCCCGAGTGACGCGAATTTAACTTTAGATTAGATTCTCAAGTAAACTATGGATTTGGAACAAATACGTCGATTCCCAGCTGCTCCATTGTAGGTCTAGCCAAACTGGTCGGAGGAAAAATGGCTCGCATAAATATCCCCAGGTAAAAGCTTCCCAATTCAAAAATGGATTGAAATAGTAACGGTATTAAAATTACCTTTGTTGCGGGCTGCACGAATTAGGACTACAGGGATCCGAATCGAAACACGCTCCGAATTCGAACCGGTCGTCGGTTAACGAATCGCATCTAAAAATTGCCATTTCGTTACGAATTTGATAATTTTTCATAAAATTAATATTTATACCTGGCTACACATGCGCTGGGGTAAGTTTTTCCATTACTACCGCAGACGGGAACGTAATGGTCCGGACAATTACACGGTAGAGCTAAACGATGGTAAGATACGTAAAACTTTAGTTTAAAATATAATAAACTTCGATTTCCTTAAGTAAAAACTAAATCGATGCTAACCTTTTTCCAGATCCCGTCCCGAAGAATGGCATTTTTCCTGCGTACAGGTTAACGTTCCGGCATAACAGAAACAAATATTGCAGCCTTTTTGAATCCTAGTGTTGTGAGCTATTATTAGATAAAATTACGTTACGTTTTCCGCTAATCTACTTTCATTTAAATAAAAATTTAAAACTTACCGATTTTCTTTCCGCCGTTCCAACAGTTGTCGTTGTTTCCGCAGGGTGCTTTTATACAATCTACTAACTCGCCTTTGAAGTTACAATAACAAACTTTATAACAGACAATATTATAAACGTCGGGAGTCATAGGTAACTGCACGTAGGTCCCTCTAGCCACAACTAGATTGGATCTTTGCCCCATTCGGCATCCTATTTAAAAATATCGTCGATAACTGTCGTAATAAATTGAGGTATGCGGAATTATAAAACATAAATAACACGTATTACCTGGAACGCAAGAATACGGTAAACATCCGCGTCCAAATAAACAGGTGTGAATCACTATACAAACTTCGTCTTCGTAGCAAGGATTTGGTACGCACGGAGTGGTGACTTCGATTAAATGATTCTGATATTTGCTTGGTGCTAAAGCATAATAATTTATATTAACTCTCTAAAATAATTAAATCTCTATGACAATTTAGGTCTATATAACTTTAATTGAAAATAAAGGGTTTAAAATCTGCATTTCAGGCATATTGTTACAACAAATTAAGAATTGGCTTAGAAATTGTTCGAATATAGAAGCTAATTAAACAATTTCACTTAAATTCTTTTTAGAGTTTTTATTAATATACTGTTTTATGGTTTAAATACTGCCAATGAAATCATATATACAGATATACTTGTGACGGACCGGATCTGACGAATTTTGATAGAAATTCTCATCCTTAAAAAAAATCCATTTTATTACCGGAGAAAGATTACATCTCTCTCTCCAGAGTTGTTTCCTTTCCCATGGAACTCATCGAATGTGTCACTGGAAACTACTATCAAAAATTCCCGATTGGAGAAAAAAGATAACGTAATGTGATATTAAAAAAAAGAGAGACTCAGGGACAAGGGGAGAGTACGAGAGTTCGCCAATCGTCCTCCTTGAGAAAGTATATTCGAGTATGCTTCCCAATGGCCGATCACGTCCGCTGCTTTTGTTCACCCGACTGTTGCTCCCTTTTTTGGACAGTCGAGGTTCTCCTTCCAGGAACCCTATTCGGATTTCTCCGTCTACAAGCTTGACTTTTTCCCACGAACTTGAACTTTTCTACCCGGGTGCACCCGATCCACTATTGTCCGACGAAGTTCAAGAATCGACGGAACAAGGTATTTATGGTCGCGCGAAAAATAAAATGTAAACTCTCTCTCTCGGTCAGGAATCCGTTAACCTCAGATTGTGGTGATACACCAGTTGTTTTTTTTATATATATTTATATTTTTGTATTAAGCCTAGGATTAAGTTTTCTCGATCTTTTGTTTAACCCTTCCTCATACTCTCTAACGGTCCTGTCTCCCTGCTGGTGGTGAAACATTTCTAAGTATCAATAGTATTAATCTATAAAACAGAATTCTGTTTTATAGATTAATACTATTGATACTTAGAAATGTTTCTATTTAAAATACCTGTGCATGAGTTAACTCATTTCCTGTATGCATGCTATATAAAACTCTGTCTACTGCTGATAATCCAACATAAGTTCCAGGTTTCCCTTTAATTATAACTTCAACGGTATTTAATGTCTTATCCTTTCTTTCATTTAATGTTACTGTAAACTATAAAAACATATTGTTTAATAATAGTAAATGATATTTTATTTT